ACGTTTGTTTAGGGACTCAAGTCACATTTATAAGGATACCTGCCTTTGGGACAAGCATAGGACTGGTTTGGCAAAGTGGGGCTTATAATACAGGTCTACACTAACACCAAGTGGCAGCTATTTGAAATGCCCTTTACATTCTTGGGGTTATTTCTTCTCCTCCTCCTCTTCCCCTTCTGCCTCTTCCTCTCCTCCTTTTCCTTCCTGTCCCCCCCCCCCCACTTCTTCCTCCTCCTCTTCCTCTTCTTTAGTGTTTTCTTTCTTGCTGGTAACTCTCACATATTGCTAGTTTCTGCAAGCCTGGCCGTGGAGTCTATTTCTTTTCTACTCTGTCTGAAGGTTTTTCTTGCCATTTGTTTGTTCAGGAACAAGTTGTTTGTCCTGCAGACATTTCCACTTCTGGATCTTGCAGATGGTATCACCATGGTGTTGTTTACCATGAACATGTTTCTCTGCTGTCTCTGTAATTCCTGTAAACTGACAGTTTAGGTCTACAAGCCTGATCACAGGTTTTTTTGTAGGAATGCTTTCTGTGCGTACTGCAGTGGTGCTGTAGACTTCCTATTGTACTACACTAGGAGGCCACAGGGGCTGGGCATCCTTTTTGTGATGTTCAAGGTTAATTAGCAGTTCAGGGGCTGCCAGAGTTGTCCATCCTCTGTCAAGTTTCCCACCAGTTTTTTCTAGAATGGTTTTAGAAGTTATTGATTATTGTTCCTTAGAGCCATTTTTAAAATTACAGTTCTAAGTGTTGACGTTCTTGTATATTCTTCCTTGTGTGTCTATGAACAGAGAAGAATAAACTATCTGCATAGTATGGGAGGTTTTTTTTTAAAAGAAAGTTAAGGCCTTCATTTAATAAGAATTCACTAATAAGAAAAACAATAAGCAGATGGAGCTAAAATGCAGCTGGGTTTTTATAGATATTTCATAAAACTCACAGCTATTATTTTACACATATATGTAAATATACTTATATGTGTGTACATATAGTGTATATATATTTATTTATATAAGGATACTTCAAAAAGTTGATGGAAAATGAAATTAAAAGATGTTTGGTTTGCTGTAAAAATTCTGAAATTGGTGTAGTTTTTTTCATAATACTTTTTCCATATATATGTTTATATAACCACACACACAGTGAATACACACACACACACATAATGGTGAAGAGGTGGGGTCTACAATCAGAGGGTTTGGGGCTGAGTACCAGTTCTCCCCAATTACCCAAGTGTTCCTTGACAAGCCACTATTTTCTACTCTGTAAAAGGAAAGATAATTTTTTTAAAAAATAACAGCACAGGGACTTATTACAGAAATTAAATTGACAATGTAGACACCTTATAAAGTGTTATTCAAATGTTGGAGATGCCAAATATTTAATTACAAAGATGATTCAAGTGAATGGGAGAGACGGGAAAGGCTTTGTTGATGCTGTGGGTCTTGCACAGAATTAGAGGTAGAAACAAACAATGTGATAGGTGGAAAAAAAGCTAAGTAGAAAATGCCATGTGTGCTGTTTCAGAACTGGGCCAGAGTAAAATCCACAGATTTCCTTGGCTCTGTTGAAGCTTACCAGTGCTCGTGTGTTCGACAGACAAGTGATTGGAGGTGAAGCTGGCAGTGGACATTAAACTCCATGATTAGGAGCTTTAATTGATCTCACGGGTAATTAAGCCCCCCTGCTGAGCTGAGACGGGTGTTATTTGAGGTCAGCAGCAGCATTCTGAATGCTAGCTTTGGCCTATTTTGAAGCTAAAGAACACCAGAAGGTTAAGAAGATTAAACAAAAACATAACCCTCAATCTCCTGTTTGATCCCTTCCTAAAACGACCTTTTAAACTGGTTAGTGTCTGAATTCAGGTCACATCAGCAGCATAGCCATGCAAGGAAGACTAACAATTACTTGCCTCCCTATGTCCATGAGTGAAGAGTGATGCATATCATTAACATTTCACTAAAGCCCTCAGCAGCCAGTGTAGTGGAAAGAGGACTAGACTGTCATAGCCTGACAATCTGTTGGAATGCTATCTCTAAAGCCTTCCACAAATTTAAGAGAAAACTCAGTGAACGAGTTAGGGTGCAGGTGACATGAGCACAGGTTTTTATGCATGTATTGCAGATGCTTGCTGCACACTTGCTTTGTGAAAGACATCATTCTAGATGCAATTGGGACTCCAGATGTGAACAGCGTACATGCCTTAGCTTCAGAAACTTATCAATAATGGAAAAAAGATGTATGTATGTAATTGTGATGGTGACAGTAATGATGATGATAGGAACACAAGGAACTCCAGATGAGAGGTAGCAGAAAGGGACCAGAAAAAAAATAATACTGGTTCTAGAATGAGAACGCAGCACTTGGTATACCTAGACACCAACTGCTTTCTTCTTTTGTCAGTTTGGTTCTTCAATACTTTATTATAAGCAGTAACTAAGGTTTAAAATCTTTAGCGGTATAAAATTACAGGAATTTACCAAAAATATTTAATTCTATTTAAAGCCATAGAATTTTTTAAAGGAGCTATTTCAGAGACTATCTACTTCTACAGTTTTATTTCACAGACTAGGAAACTAAAGTCAAAGAGATAATGTGATTTGTTGTAGAAGGTAGAACCAAAGCAGAAATCAGTTTTTTTGAGTCATAATCAGTAATCATCTTTCCATTTTTTTAAAAAAAGGAATTTGAAGTGGGTGTATTTTGTCTCCAATAAATTCACAAGCTTCTAATTTTACTCATTAATTTTTCAAAAAAATTGGGTCATTTCATTTTTATTTTGCCTTAATTAAAATTTTGGTAGTCTTTAAAAAATTTTATTAATGACTTTTTAAATTTACTTAATTTATTTGAAAAGCAGAGTGCTGGGTGTGTGTGGGGATGGGGGAGAGATGAGAAACAGAGAGAGAGAGAAAGTTCCCTCCACTAATTCACTCCCTAAATGCTCATAACACTGGAGACTGGTTAGGCTGAAACCAGGAGTCAGGAACTCCACCTGGATTACCCATATGGGTGGCTGGAATCCAGGTACTAGGGCCATAATCTGCTGCCTTCCAGGCGCATTAGCAGGAAGCTGCACCAGAAGCGGGTATTTGGGACTTGAACCAGGCACTGTGGTATGAGATGCAGGATTCACAAGTGGTGGTTTAATCCACTGTGTCACATACCTGTCCCCAAACTGGGATAATTTAAGTGAAGCATGTAGAAACATGAAAAAATAAAGTGACTACACATGCACAATTGGCATAAAAACTATAAACAAGCAGCCATACTTTGGAGTCAATACCCAAGAGACTATTTAATGTGATCTTAGTTGCTTTGGTAGGTAATGTTGCTATGGTATTGAGAGTTGGCAAGATTGACTTCATGCTTAATTATGTCAAGAGATTTGAAAAAGTACATTCAAAAAACTTAGGAAATAACACAGGTTACCTAAAAGTAGTTATCGTAACTAAGATGAAGTTTGAATATTTCATTAATACAGTCATTCGGTCAGTGTGTCTCAAAGTGTGACGTGAAAGCTCCCGAATCAGAACCACTCCAGATTCCATAAAAATGCAGATTCTTGAGCCTGTTCTGATTCTTGAATCCCAAATTAAAACAAACTAGATCATTGTTGAAATTTTATCTTTGGCGGTAGCGTGAAACAGAAGGAAATGAGTCAAGTCTGATGGAGGAGACATATTTATAAGCAGACAGAGATTAGAAATACAAATGTACATGCAGAACTGTCTCTGGCCCTCAGACTGCTCTGCTCAGACACTTGCTGCTTTGATTTTTCTTTTTTAAGATTTCTTTATTTATTTGAAAGGCAAAGTTACAGAGAGGCAGAGGCAGAGGCAGAGACACAGAGAGAAAGAGAGATCTTGCACCTACTGGTTCACTCCCCAAATGGCTGCAAAGGCTGGAGCCGGGCTGATTTGAAGCCAGGAGCCTGGAGATTCTTCTGGGTCTCCCACATGGTTGCTGGGGCATCTTCTACTGCTTTCCCAGGCCACAATAGGGAGCTGGATCGGAAGTGGAGCAGCCTGGTCTCAAACCGACCACCATATGGTATGCTGGCGCGGCACTATGGACAGCGGCTTTACCCGCTGCACCACAAGGCCGGCCAGTGGCTTTGATTCTTGTGTCTTATGGCACTGTAGCTATTTTCAGAACGTTTCTCAGGTCCTCGGCTCTCATTATACACAGTCTCTAATTGATCTTACTGTGGCTGACTCCAGGGCGCATACCCCAGTCTCCTTCCCTGATATTTACCTCTTCTAAGATCTCTCTGGCCTTTATCTTCCCCAAGTCATGGGCATCTGCCCTCATACTCATACTGACCTCTGTATCTCTTTAGCATTTTACAAAAGTCTTATCATTGTTAAAACTTGGAAAAAAAGAGAGGAAAATCACAGTATTTCCAAAAAGGAGAGGAGCTGTTGACGCCGGCTCTGAAAACCAAAGGCACCAAGTTGGCCATTTGTTGTTCAGTCTGGTTGCCAATTCAATCCAATCAGCCACCTCACTGATCTAATTTTATATTTACCCTGGGAGATGTTGTAACACAGTCAATAAACTCAGAAATGGGAGTAAGGCATATGGCAATGGTATGTATATATTAGCCTAAAAGATGTTCTTTAAAAAAATGACTGTAAAAACAGTATCATATAGATCTGGATTACAAATATTAAGATGTTTTTAGGTTGGAAGCTTTTTAAAATTTCATTTTCACAATTTTCAGTGCCTTTTTAAAAAATCAATAAATCTGGATAAAAAAATGAATAAATTGTGCTTAGTATTCGCAGCCTAGGGAATGACAGCTCCAGCTAATTAGAACGCCCCGAACTGACAGCTGCCTAGGAGCAATGTAATTAGAGACTCTATGGGCTTCAGATGCTGTCTGAGGTAAGAGCAGCGCCCCCGCTGTGAGAGATTCCACTTATCCAGGAAGAGATCAAGCATTGCCGCCTGTCAAAACACAGCTCCGCTGCCATTCCTCCAATTTCTCTTTCAGAGCACAACCTTTGCAAACTGAGGAAAGAAAAGTGCAGACGCGGCGAGTGTGGAGCCGGCCCCAACTTCCGCCAGTGCGCATGTGCGGAGGGCTACACTTTGAGCCGAGACCGGAAGTCTTGCGAAGGTAAGGCGCGCGTGGCCAGCGGGAGGCGGACGGGGTGTCGGGGCGGCGTCTTGATTTCTGGGGCCTTAGCGAGCCTCCCTGGGAAAGTCCGGCCCCCGCTCCCCTTTTGTTTCCCAGAAAGGCTATTTATTTATCTAACTATGTTCAATTGTTAAAGTCCTTGTAATATTTTCCGATCTTTCTATCTTGTGTTGGAAGATAAAATGCCCAGGCTGCGCAGGGACTGAAAGAAGATGGGGGTTCTTTGAGCGGACTCTGTGCACCCCGGTGTGTCTGTGCATATTTCAGTATGTGTTGGTATTTGTAGGGGAGTGGAGCCAGCGTATCCTAAGATTCCATGAATGTGGTTAACTTTCACATCTTCCAGAAAGGTCTGACAGGAACCTTGGGAAAACTGAACCAGGCTGCTTATTTAGGGCTCTGCCTAGTTGAGGCCTAATTTAATGTATCTGGGAAAAAGACTGTGTTCTTCCACCTGGAGGGTGAAGCAATTGACGGAAAGAATAGAGTGGCTGCAGTACACCTTTTGTGGAATGGACTGTGGGCTGATAGTACAGGTAAATCTAGCATATGCCTGTTAATTGTAGTCCTCTGCTTACCTGGGACCAGGGGCAAAAGCCGTGGCTCAGACAAGTAGGGGCAAAGGCCAGGGCTTCCCAGAGCAAGGTTCCTGGAGAGTCGTCCCACATTTAAGGGAAAGTTCCCTCCTGCCAGCAGGAAATGTCCTAAATTGGTAGAGAACTTTGAGCTGTCCCTAACTTAAATAGAATGTTGTGTCCTTTCAAGGGAAATAATACTGCTTTTTTCCCCCAGGGTCATTTTAGTATGAAAATCTATTTGAAAGTACATACCATGACAGAAAAGACTTCCATCATTACTAAGCTGACTTCTTTCCCTTTTTACTGCAAGTACAAACACCCAGCATTTCAATGGTCAGTTATAGCATAGAGAAGTATGAGGTGCCCTCACTCTGCACTGACATTAATGAAAACAGCCTGTTTTTTTTTTTTTTTAATGCATCTGTATTTTGCTGCTGTTACTGTGCAGATGTAAATGAATGTTCCTTTTGGAATCATGGCTGTTCTCTTGGATGTGAAAACACCCCTGGATCCTATTATTGCACATGCCCAGTAGGATTTGTTCTGCTTCCTGATGGGAAACGGTGTCATCGTAAGTCACAGCAACTAGTATTTATTGCCATTATTGTCCATAATGTTTCCATAATGATCTGGGTTGGTGCTCATCAGTCAGCAGTGTGTATCAGAATTATCTTGGAATTTTCTATTGCTTTGTTTTTAAAAATAAGGATGACTGGAATAGTCTGATTAAATTGAAAAGGATTGGGAAACAAATATATGCACTTTCCTGTGTCTATCCATGTTGCCTTTTATTTTATTTGATATCTCCAAAAGATGAGTGTGTAGAAAACAATAATGATGTGTTTTTGTATCTAACTAATTCTCCACTCTATTATTTACTATCCAGTCTGTTTTCAGAAACACTAATTTTGCTTTGTTCTTTATAAAAACTAGAATTAGTTTCCTGTCCAAGTAATGCATCTAAGTGCAGCCATGGCTGTGTTCTGACATCAGATGGTCCTCTTTGTTTCTGTCCTGAAGGCTCTGTGCTTGAGACAGATGGAAAAACATGTAGTGGTGAGTCCATTTAACTTTTGCTTGTTTGAAAATGTGAATTTTCTAAGTGACACCTGAAATTTGATCTTATTGCCAAAAGAGAATAGATTTTCCAATATCACACATTTTTTCAAGGTTTTATTTATTTATCTGAGAGGGAGAGTTACAGAGAGAGAGAGAGAGAAAGAGAGAGAGAGAAAGGTCTTCCATCCCATTTCACTCCCTAAATGGCCCCAATGGCTGGAGCTGAGCTGATCCAAACCCAGGAGCTAGCAGCTTCTTCTGGTCTCCCACATGGGTGCAGGGATGCAAGCACTTGGGCCATCTTCCACTGCTTTCCCAGGCCATAAGCAGAGAGCTGGATCAGAAGAGGAGCAGTCAAGGCATGAACCAGCACCCATATAGGATGCTGGTGCAGCAGGTGGTGGCTTTACCTGCTATGCCACGGTCCCAGCCCCCTAATGTCACACACTGAAAGATGTTTATGTAAAGGATTATTAATATACAGACTTAAATTACTGTAATAATTTTTTCATTATTTTTTCTTTATTTTTTTTTTTTGACAGCATAGTGCAGTAGTTATGAGCAAGGACTTAGAAGTTATATGGCTTTGGGACTGGTGTGGCACAGTAGGCTAAACCTCCACCTGTGGTGCTGGCATCTCATATGGACACCTGTTGGTGTCTCAGCTGCTCCTCTTCTGGTCCAGCTCTCTGCTATGGCTTAGAAAAGCAGTAGAGGATGGCCCAAGTCCTTGGGCCCCTACACCCATGTAGGGGTCCTGAAGGAAGCTCCTGGCTCCTGGCTTCGGATTGGCTCAGCTCTGGCCATTGGGGACATCTGGGGAGTGAACCAGTGGATGGAAGACCTTTTCTCTGTCTCTCTCTCTCTCTGTAACTCTACTTCTCAAATAAATAAATAAAATCTTAAAAAAAAAAGTTAAATGGCCTTGTAGTAGCTTTACCAGATAGTAGCAGTGTGATTTTGGACTAGTTATTTATTCTCTCTTAGTCTTGTTTCCTCATCAGTAGAGGTACTGTTACTTAAACAAGATGACAGAAGCAGAGTGCCTAGCTTAATCCTTATACCTAGTAAATACTTGTATATTTTTATGTCCATAGAAACTTCAGTATATAGAAACCTGGAAGTAACTCAAAGTTAATGGAAGAGTTCCATATGACTTTTTGATTAAAAAAATTTTGGGGGAGAGAGAGGCTCCCATTCATTGGCTCACTCTTCAGATGCCCGCAGTGGTTAGCTAGGGCTTGCTAGGAATTGGAGCTGGGACCTGGGAATACAACCCATTCTCCCCTGTGAGTGACAGGGATCCATTAAGTTGAGTCATCACCACTGCCTTCCAGGGTCTGCATTGGTAGGAAGCTGAAGTCATGAATCAGAACTGGCAGTCAAATGCAGGTACTCTGATGTGGGAGGCAGACATCTTAATGTCTTTTGATTTTTTTTTTTTTAATGAAGAAAGAAAAAGAATTGAAGAGTCCAAAAATGTGGTGAGTGAAAAATGTATTTGAAGAGTTTGGCATCTGGTATAACTCTTCCTGGTGCTGTGGTGTAGTGGGTAAAACTGCTGCCTGCAGTGCTGGCATCCCATATAGGTGCCAGTTTGAGTCCCGGCTGCTCCACTTTCTATCCTGCTCTCTGCTATGGCCTGGAAAGCAGTAGAAGATGGTCCAAGTCTCTGGGCCCCTGCATCCATGTGGGAGACCTGGAAGAAGCTCCTGGCTTCTGGCTTTGGATTGACGCAGCTCCAGCCATTGCGGCCAACTGGGAAGTGAACCAGTGATGGAAGACCTCTGTCTGTCTCTCCCTCTGCCTCTCTGTAGCTCTGCCTTTCAAATAAATAAATAAATCTTTAAAAAATGTATTTTTTATTCCAGCCAGCTGCTGGGGTACTTGTTCTTGAACTTAGTGGTAGAACAAGAGGACAAGGGCCACGGGATTGGAAAAGATAACTACCAATATGTTGGGCTATATGAAAGGAGGATACTATGATATTTGCTCCTGACCTCTGAAAAATACACCTGATTGTAGCAGTACAAATGACTATGGACATGGTTCTAAAAATCAACATATAGTTGGGCCATCTAGATATTTTGATTAAAAATTGTTCTATTTTGAATGACATAGCAGCCTTACCAAGTGATTGTGCTTTGTAGGCTGTTCATCACCTGATAATGGTGGGTGTAGCCAGCTCTGCGTTCCTCTCAGTCCGGTATCCTGGGAATGTGGTTGTCTGCCTGGGTATGACCTACAACTGGATCGGAAAAGCTGTGCAGCTGCAGGTCAGTGCTGAGGCCATCTGAAAGTATGGCCCTGCAAAAAGATGACATGAAAACAACATTTCATTTAGAAAGATGGAAAGTTGAATTTCTTTTGTCTTCTGGGTTGAAAGTCTAATTTTTAATTATTCGAAATGGAAAACAAATCATACTGTAAATATGAATAAATAATAACAATATAAATGATAACTGTAGTTTTAAAGAACATTTCTAAGTTAATTAGCATCCTGCAAAGATTTGCCGGTATGATATTTGCAGTAGATGAGAAAGTCCTGCCTAGAATAGCCTTAAAACACTTCATATTTGGAAAGTATTTAATAAATATTTGTTGATTGATTTGATTTTCATCTCTCTAGTGAATATAATAATCATAATACTTTGACAGATTCTGTCCTTAGTGTGTCAGTATTTAATATGAAGTTGTATGCCTCAGCTATCTTTCTATCTTCTGATATTACATTTCTTATGTCTCTCAGCAGCCCTGGGTATCCTAGATTAATCTTATTTCTCCTGCAGGTTCATTATACTTTAATCTAGGCCATCACAATGATGCTTCTAAACAGCTCACTTTAGTCAGACCTAATAGTGTTAATTTCTCGAGGTCTTAATTCACATTGCATCAGATTGTGTCCTGAAAATGATCAAGGGTCTTAGTATTAACTCAGATAATCATACCTTCTTTTCAGAAATACCAAGGACGGGGAAGGTTAGTTATTCAGTATCAATGTACATAATCTGCTAATTTTAATGTGTTGCTCCGTGTGTAAATGAAGGAAATTACAGCCCTAAGACTTGCGTTATTTAGCCCTGGTGTTAGTTTTTTGAATGCTGGTCCTTTCTTTAAGTAATTTGCATTTTAAAAACAGACACCAAGAGAGGCAAGAACCTTATGATGAAATTTTGGCAATGACGGGAAGAGAGAGTCTTGCCTGTCTACGCCTGCACCACATTGTGGGAAATTACAAAAACAAGTACTGCCCAAATTAAAGAAGGCACCATGAAAGTTAGAATCAGAAGTGCCTCTAGAGTTCTAAGGCATGTTTTAAATGCAACCATATTTGAAATTTGATTAACAGGACCACCACCATTTTTGCTGTTTGCCAATTCTCAAGATATTCGACACATGCATTTTGATGGAACAGATTATGAAACCCTGCTTATCCAGCAGATGGGAATGGTTTTTGCCCTAGATCATGACCCTGTGGAAAATAAGGTATGGTTTTGTTGCTTGAACAGTTGTGAATATGCTCACTTTAAGGACCAAGTAGAGGATTTTATCCCAACAAATGACCTGGGCTACATGAAAATCCTCAGCTAAACTCAGGACAGTCAGGTATGGAACAATTTAAAAATATACCTTGGTGCATCCTTTGAGATATTTTAGGTGCTTTCTGGCTATCGTACCCTACCCTAATTCTGGCTGTGGTTTAGTCATTTTACTGGGAATGATCATGCAGGATCTTCAGTTTAGTTTCCTTCTTTGGAGCTGAAGATATAATAGACAGGTCTAGCATAGTTCTGTGCACATAGAAGGTGCTCCATAAATAGATTTATGATTATTTTGATTATTTTTAGTAGTTGGAGGAGTTGAAGTTTGGGACATAGTAACCCTAGTAGGGGTTAATAATTTACATTTAAGATATATTGTTGGTGGGAGGGGAGGGAGGATTCAGTGACGTCTTTACCATTAAAATCAGGAAACTTAAGTTTTATGGCTCATATGGGAATGGTAGCCTAACTCATAACTTATGTATATAATTTACATAAAACTTTTGGTGTAACTAAGAATTTCTGTATTATCAACCCAGTCAGCTGGCCATTTGGTCTTTAGTTACTTAGTTGTATTTGTGCTAGGTTAGAATGTGCTTGAATTGACATCATGGGGTCTTTTGGAGATTAATCACCCAAAATGATAAATTTACATGTTACTAATCCTGCTCCATAACTATTTAGCTGTTTCCAGATGGTGCTTGAATTCCTAGGATTTTAAACTTTGTGTTTTTGTTTCTTCCTGATTTGAAGCAATCTGGTAAATGGCTAAAAGGGACAGAGTGAAGCAAATTAATTCTAGCTATAATAGGTATGGATTGATAGCCAATTTGTGCAAATAGAAGTTTTATACTTAAATACTAGGAAACAGGTTTTTTTTCTTCTACCTGAACTGAATTTATATTGCTCCAAAGAACAATTGATTACATTAATAAAAATGGAAAAGATGAGTTCAGATTTATTTATTATCAAATTAGTTCCCCCCCGCTACAGTCAGCATTTTTACAACAAGATAAATAGGAGATCTAGAATGAACTTTATATCAGGTAGCTCCTTTGCATCTCTCTGATCAGTCTTCTCATTTTCTTGCTACTCAAACTGTGGTCTTTGAACCAGCAACAACAATATCACCTGGAGCTTATTACAAGTACAAAGTCCTAGGCCCTGCTCTTGACCACCAAATCAGAATTTGCTGTTTAACAAGACTGTCAGTTGATTCCATGCACTCTAGTACCTGAGAAGCATGGCCTTAATGTAGTGTCTGTAAATATGAGAAGTATTAATATTTCTATTTATGAAATACAACCTTTCTAGTTTATCTAGAAAGAAGAATAACCCATAAGAAGTTATCTTTTTAGGAAATGTCCATCACTGATTATGGGTTTCTGAACATATATGAGGGTACTTCAAAAAGTTCATGGAAAAATGGAATCAAAAGATAAATCGATTTTGGTTTTTAAAAATTTTAAAATACCTGAATAATTTTTTTCATAATAGGCATTTCCATGAACTTTTTGAAGTCCTTTTGTATGTGTGGACTTTTTTTTTTTTTTTTTTTTTTTACAGGCAGAGTGGACAGTGAGAGAGAGAGAGACAGAAAGGTCTTCCTTTTGCTGTTGGTTCACCCTCCAATGGCTGCCGAGGCCGGGGTGGTGCAGCCAGTGCACCGCGCTGATCTGATGGCAGAAGCCAGGTGCTTCTCCTGGTCTCCCATGGGGTGCAGGGCCCAAGCACCTGGGCCATCCTCCACTGCACTCCCTGGCCACAGCAGAGAGCTGGCCTGGAAGAGGGGCAACTGGGACAGAATCCGGAGCCCTGCCCGGGACTAGAACCCGGTGTGCTGGCACCGCAAGGCGGAGGATTAGCCTAGTGAGCTGCAGCGCCGGCTCAAGGTCAAGCTCTTAACAATTACTCTGTATCACCTGAAGACTTACTAACTTTTGGATCCATTCCATATTTCTTCCCAGAAATAAATAAGAAATGCCTATATTCTCTTTTTTTAGATATACTTTGCCCATACAGCCCTGAAGTGGATAGAGAGAGCTAATGTGGATGGTTCCCAACGAGAAAGGCTAATTGAAGATGGAGTAGACTTGCCAGAAGGACTTGCTGTGGACTGGATTGGCCGTCGATTCTACTGGACAGACAGAGGGTATGTTTCCTGCTTTGGTTTGTTAAGTTACAAGTGACAGGAGTGATGGGATAGGTAATATCGCTGACCTCATTCTCCACTTTGCCCATAAAAATATATTGTTGGGTAGATGGGTGGGATTGGAGGAAAAAAAGCCCTCATTGATGACCATACTTATTCTACTCCCTCCTCACCACCAAACAAGATAGTCTCCCTTTTTATCAAAATTAGATCTGTAAAAATGTTTTTAAAATGCAGGAGAACAGGCATTTGGTATTTGTGATCAAAATGCCACTTGGGGGATTCCTTACTGGAATGTCTTTTTTTTTTTAAAAAAAGATTTATTTGTTTATTTGAAAGAGTTAGAGAGAGAGAGAGAGAGAGAGAGAGAGAGAGATGTGTCTTCCATTTGCTGCTTCACTCCCAAATGGCCACAATGGCCAGGGCTGGGCCAGACTGTAGCCAGGAGCCAGGAGCTTCATCTGGGTCTTTGGCATGAGTGCAGGAGTCCAAGCATTTGGGCCATCTTCCACTGCTCTGCCAGGCGCATTAGCAGGAAGCTGGATTGGAAGTGGAGGAGCCGGGACACAAACTGGCACCCATATAGTACCCCTATGCTGGTGCTTTAGCAGCAGCTTTACCTACTATGCCCCAGTGCTGGCTCCAGGTGTCTGGGTTGGAGTTCTGGTTCCACTTCTGATTCCAGTTTCCTGTTAATTTGCAACCTGGGAGGCAGCAGGTATTGGCTCAAGTAGTTGAGTCTCTGCCACCCATGTGGGACACTTGGATTGAGTTCTGGACACCTGACTTTGGCCTGGCCCAGCCCTAGCTATTATGGACATTTGGGAAAAGAACCAGTGCATGTTTTTCTTCAAATAAATAAAAATACCCAAATAAAACTTTTAAGAAATTGGATGTGCATCTGTGGCAGGATATCTAGGGCCAATAAAGTAACATGTGTTTTTGTGGTTCAGCCTGTTGTTAGTAGAGAAACCCAAGATCTGTCTGATTATGATTAGAAATCATTACACATCTGCTACAGATAAGGTTGTCTTCTAGACTTCATGGAAGGAGCACGAGAATGAGATAGGCACCATATTTTCCGTTGGCCCTTAGATTATCTGGGGGAATAAGGCATATTTCCCCAGCCAAAAAAATTAATACAGCTGAATGATTGGTCTAAATAGAATACAAGAAATGTCATAAGACCTCATATAAGTAATTGCCAACTGAAAGATGCATACTCTCAAAGGGAATGGAGGGGTTTCAGGGATCAGCTAGCCCAACTTCTTCATTTTACAAGGTGAGGAATATAAGGATCAGGAGTCTAAGTGAGTTATTCAAAGTCACACAACACGCCAGTGACTAGTCTTGGACCACAATCCACATGCGGGCTCCCTGGTAGGTAAGCGTGAAGGAGGGAGTGAGAGCCTCCTGCTGGAGTTGGGAGGAAAGTTCATGAGATGCCAGGACAATACCCTTGCTTTGGTGGGGAACAGAGCAGAGTGAAGTTGTGGTTGTTCTGTGCTCTGGGCACCAGGAGGACTGTTGGACTTAAATGTGAGCCCACAAACAGGATGAGGGAGGAGAAGGAAGGAAGCAGCTGTGTCCCTTATCTGTGCTAACGAGAACTCACTCTTGCTTTTGTGAGAGAAGCCACTAACCTTAGAGTCCCTGACAGGATAATATTAGAGATGCTGTGTGCTACAGGATATTTTCTGAGAGTAACTAAAAGCCGTAAAGTGGCCAGTCTGCACATCTGGTACCTATGCAACCACACTGAAGTAAAAGGGAGAAGTAACTAAGGCTTTACCTCTGTGAAATCAGCTGTTCCAACACAGAGTCCCAGGAAATGGTTTGCATGATTGGGGATAGGCATTTTGTGTACAAGAAAATCTCTTTTGGTCTGGAGTAATAATGGCTAACAAAAGGATTTTTTAAAGTGAGCCAGATGTATGATGTGGTATGCAATTATCAATGGCCCTTCTCTCTCCAGGGCTAGCATATTTTCTTTCACTCATTCATTCATTTATTTATTAGTTTAGCCATACCTTCATTACCTTATTATTTGGGTATTTATTAATTGAATAACAGCAATGCACCAATGAAGGAACTATGTATCCATAATAGCATTAAATCCTCAAAGGGTGAGGCAGGTGTTTGGCCTGGAAGTTAAGACACAGATAGGATGCCCGTGTCCCACATCAGAGTATCTAGGTTTGATCCCCAGATCCAGCTCCTGATTCTAGCTTCCTGCTGAAGTGGGCCCTGGAAGACAGCAGTGATGACTCAAATAGTTGAGTTCCTGGCTCCTGGCTTTGACACCAGAAAGGAGGAGGGGTATTATAGATATTTGGGGAGCGAACTAGTGGATGAGAGTTTTATCTCTCTCAAAATCCATAAAGGTAAATTTTCATTTCTCCAATTAAGATATTAAGAAAATTGGTCATCAAATGTAAAATAACTTTCCCAAAGCCAAGCATCAACAAGTAGTTATAATTGGAACTCAAAGGTGTTCATTTCCAAAGCTTACCCTCATAAAAATCAAGAAGATTTACTGCCTTTCTTACTAGAGCTGATGTAAAATATGCTCAATGCAGAATCATGTAACAAATTAAAACTGAATTCAGTTGTAATAATTATGAAAATCATAATGGCCTCCTCTGTGTTGAACCTACTTAAAAGGACATTTTAAGTGTCACCTGTGCATAGTAACAGAGCTTGTATATGGCTGTTCTTAGAATAAGCTTGGAGCAGGATGACAGATGCCAACTGTTCTTAGGCCCTCTATGGATGGTGGGTCTTCTCATATTTTCCCATATTCCCAAGGCCCCTCTAGTTGTAACAGTCCTTGAATAATAGCACCACAGTTCCTACCATGGGGGCAGTTCCTTCAGGAGATGGGACAGGCCTGGCTTGGAGAATCGGACCTCAGATTCCCTAGTTTGTTGACTTTGGTAATGAGCCCCTTTTAAGGCTTCTTCCCTCTAAAGGCATCTGCTAGAAGAGAACCTTTAAATTGTCTGGAAATGAGAGATTCGTAGTTTGAAAACCTTGATATTAGCTAGAAATTGGATTTAAAAAACTGAGATTCCAATGTCATGATATTAAATTACCTGGTAACTTACGCAATTAAAAGATCTCAAGTAGGGTAGTTGCACTCCGTAGTGGTTGAGGAAAAGACAGACTCAAATGATTGACTCAAATGGTAGGAAGAAAGTTCATTGACAATTCCACTGGCAACACTATTATTTAGTATGAAGGAATCCTGAGTCCTGAAGTCAATTGCTAGTGACAAAGAATGAAGGGGCTAAAAATTAAGACATCTGTTCATGCAGTCTTTTTTTTTTTTAAAGATTTATTTATTTATTTGAAAGTCAGAGTTACACAGAGAGAAGAGAGGCAGAGAGAGAGAGAGAGGGAGAGAGAGGTCTTCTATCCAATAGTTCACTCCCCAGTTGGCTGCAATGGCTGGAGCTGTGCCAATCCGAATCCAGGAGCCAAGAGCTTCTTCCAGGTCTCCCACATGGGTGCAGGGGCCCATAGACTTGGGCCACCTTCTACTGCTTTCCCAGGCCATAGCAGAGAGCTGGATTGGAAGAGGAGCAGCCGGGTCTTGAACCGACGCTTCAGGCCAGGGCATTAACCTGCTGTGCCACAGTGCTGGCCCCGTGTAATCTTTTGAGGTTACAAAAACTCCGATAAGGTAAAAGTCATTCTTCTGGGATTCTTGTTGGACAACACTTTTCCTCAGAGTAGGGTGCATGTTCCTCTAAGACAGGAGTGGGCAACTTTTTTTCTGCTGAGGACCATACATAAGTATCAACTTAAAAATTAACTTGGGATAGATTTATTAAATTTGGAGTTCTGCCTATGGTTGCCTTGGCAAGGCCAGACCAAATGGTTTCACAGGCCTTATATGACCCACGGACATCCTCCATCCTTGCTCTAAGAGGATCCCTTTGCCACAGGGACCCTTAGATGATGGGTATAAAGAGAAGGACATTGCACTCTAGATTAAGAGGAATGCCTGAACTTGTGTGAACCCAATGTCCTTGCTGGTCTTGGCTTCTCATTACCAACACTGAAGTTTGAGGTTTGCTTTCTGGCTGAATCCAGTAGAAATGTATTACTATGTGAACACCTTGGGGGGGCCTGAAAAGCTAACTTCCAGCAATCTTGTTTTGAGACAGCTCCAGTTAGTGTTTATGTCATACTTCTTTTGCATCATCTAACCCCTGCTTGAGAATTTAGAGATGATGTCACACTGAGATTGGAACTGACAGTTTCATCTCCTCTGGTCACAAGCAAGTGGCTTCAGAATTCCTTCCATCCCACCAAGGGAGAAGTGTCCAAGTGAGGACAGAATTTGACACATTTGACACATTGAGTTCAAAAATATCTTCGATGAAGAAGAGTTCATGCTATGACCACTTCATCTGGGGACAAAATTATCTGAAACGTGGCATTAGGGTATAAATGGTTTTTAGGTGTATCTTGCCCTGAGTTGTCAGTGAGCAAAGCAGTCATGACCCAGCATAGGCCCTGAGCCTGTTTGCCCCCTGCCTCCTCTGTGTCTAGCCTCTGAGGAAGAATGCACGTCAAGCCTTGTTCCTTGTGCTGAAGCTAAGGTTAGCCTCAGATATGCCTCCTGGAGAAGGTCTCCTTGACATTTTGTGGAACAAGGAGCAGGAAGTGGGCCTGCTCCGTGTTTCTGGGCATGCCTGTTTCCTGCCGACTTTGCCCACAAGAACAAGGTGGTTAGGCCCTTATGGTGTTTGTTGAATGAAATCGATGTGGTTGCATTTTCTAGTTTGTAAAAGATACAGGGCAAGCAGGAAGCACATGGAGATGGGTGTAGGAGGCTCTTCTTTGTCCTGTGTCCCCTCTGCCTGCCTTCCCACATGCTCTAGGGAACTCTTCAGAAGCCCTTACTAGCTCCTTTAAAAACAAAATGTATTTGTTTGAAGGCAGAGTGAGAGTGAGTGAATGAGTGAGAGAGAGAGAGAGAAAGCGAGAAAGCAAGAAAGCTCTCCCATTCTTTGCTGTACTCCCCATATGGCACAATAGCTGGAGCTAGGCTAAGCCAAAGCTGGGAGATTGGAACTCAGTCCAGGTCTGCCATGTGGGTGGCAGGGACCCAACCACTTGATCTATTTCTTGCTGACCCCCAGGGTTTACACTAGCAGGAAGCTGGAGTTGAGAGTCAGAGCCAGGCATAAAGCACAGGCACTTTGATTTGGGACGTGGCTGTCTTAATTGGCTTCCTAACCACCAGGCTAAATGCTCCTCCTGAGTTATTATTTTTTTAATGTAATAAGCAGCAAATAATGTTTCAGTGCTCACACTTGTCTCACAATCGTATGGAAGAAATGCAAGCCAACATAAATCTCCTCTACTGTCCTGGGCTGATTTGTCTCCCTCCTTCCCAGGATCTGTGACCTAAGAGGTTGATGCCTCTTTTGCCTCTGGCCTCTCTTATTCCATTGGGAGATTAGAGTTTGTGAGGAGAAAGAGATAGTGATATTCATACCTTGGCTCTGTCTCTACCAGGCATCTGACACAGTCCCTTTTTACCTTATTCTGTCACTGTGTTTTTTAATTGCTTGGGATGAATATTCAGATGCTAATTAAAAGCTTTTAAGAAAATAGAATTTGTGGGCTTGTTGGAGCTAACTAGTGTGTGTATGGGGTGGGAGGTGGAGTTTGACAGAGAGAAAGCAAAAGAGAGATGGGTAGTAGCTTAGAGTGCCTATCTTTGCATTGTCAGGAGCAGGGAAAAAGAATATTTTTATTGAAAAGTAAGGTTGTTATAACAAACCCCTTTATATTGCATACATTTTAGGAAATCTGTCATTGAAGGGAGTAATCTAAGTGGAAAGCATCGTGAAATAATCATAAAGAAGAACATTTCCCAACCACGAGGAATTGCTGTTCATCCAGTGGCCAAGTAGGTAGTTATGAAGACGAGACACCTTGTATAAGGATCATGTGTCAGCTCATGTTTGATAAACGAGTGGTCAAATAGGGCCAGCCTGCATTTCTCATCCTTTTAATATCCTTTTTTAAAAGACTTATTTATTTATTTATTTTTGAAAGAGAGAGTTACAGAGAGAGAGAGGGAGAGACAGAGACAGACGGTTCTTCCTCCCACTGGTTCACTCTGCTAATGGCCACAATAGCTGGAGGTAGGCCAGTCTGAAGCCAGAAGCCAGGAGCTTCTTGAAGGTGTCCTACATGGCCATTTTCCACTGCTTCCCCAGGCCCAGGCTGCTGGATTGGAGGTGGAGCAGCTGAGATTCAAACCTGCGCCCATATGGGATGCTGGCTTTGCAGGTGGCAGCTTTACCTGCTACACCACATACAAGCCACCTTCTAATATCTTTTGACTTCTATTGTTGAATAATAATTTTTTAAAAATACTGTTCTATTTTAAATGAATTCAATTCCTTTTTGAAAAGATATAGGCTTAATTCATTCACTACTTAGACTTAAGCCAATTACCTACTTTCTTAAAACAAAACAAAACAAAAAACTAGGAGGCCAGCCTTGTGGCACAGTGGGTTAAGATACCACTTACAGCCCTATCATTCCATACCAGAGTACCCATTTGAGTCTCAGCTGCTCCACTTCCAATCTAGCTTCCTGCTAATGCACCTAGGAAGGCAGCGGAGGATAGCCCAAGCGTTTGGGCCCCTGCAAACCCATTGGGAGACCTTGTTGGAGTTTCTGGCTCTTGGCTTCAGTCTGGCTCAGCTCTGGCTATTGTGGCCATCTGGGGAGAGAACCAGTGGATAGAATCTCTCTCTCTCTTTTTTTGTCTTTCCTTCTTTCTTTGTTGCTTTACCTTTCAAATTCATAAAAAAAATAAGTTTTTAAGAATAAAATAAAATCTACATTATTATATAAACCATTGTAGTAAACCATATTTGGATTGTATTACTTATGAATTACATTGAGAAAAATTATAAGATGACCTCAAATGATAGATCATTCCTAGATTTAGGTAAGAAGAAACAGGGATTATGAAAGATTAAAAGATGATGTTAATTATGAAATTATTGACAAATTTTCATTTAAAGGTTGGAATTCAGGAGAATAAAGGATCACTCCCTAATTTGTTAAAAAGCAAGGATAAAACCCAACCTTATTTTATTTATGATGGAAATTTCATGATGACCTATGAGAGATAATATATTGGTAGTTAATTAATAATTGATTTGGAGTGAGCCATGATAAAATGCTGAGAATGTAATAGTCTCTTAACAGGCTAACAGAAAGATAATAAGCCATACTGACTTCCAAAAACTGTGCTCAGCACCTGATTTATGCAATTTCAAATTAAAATTGAGTTAATACACTATACAGAACTAGATGACAAACAAATATTATCCCTTTATTTTGTGGCTTTTCATGTGCAATTAGTTTTACATATGTGTAACAAGAATAGGCTGCAGGATTTCTTTGCAATTTGTAGCATACAATGCTAATTTAATAATATTCACTCAAGCACACTTTCAATTAATACTAGTAGTAATTCCTTTGATCTAATGATCTGAGCCTTATTTCAGCATTTCTTATCCAAGATACTTTACATAAACAAGAGCTAATTATTTTGTTTTTCAAAGTTATTTGTCCAACAAATAGTGCTAGTGCTATATATTTTTTTCCTTCTATATTCCTTGCTGTCCTATTTTGGTAGATTCTGAAGTGATTTACCTTAATATTTTCATTGCTGAAAGAATGGAAGAATTTTTCATGCAGAGTTTATCTGTTGTATGCTTCCTTGATTAAAGGAGATTATTCTGGACTGATTTGGGGATCAGTCCACGGATTGAAAGTTCTTCCCTTCAAGGCTCTGACCGACTGATCATAGCCAGCTCTGATCTGATTGGGCCCAGTGGAATCACGATTGACTACTTGACTGACAAATTGTATTGGTGCGATGCCGAGAAGTCGACGATTGAAATGGCCAATCTGGATGGTTCAAAACGCCAAAGGCTTGCCCAGAATGATGTAGGTGAGGCTTTGGAGTGGGTGATTTCTTCATCTTGCTAAATGTTCATGAATGTTAAATTCAAAGTACATTTACATATATATATATATATATATACACACACGCACACACACAACATTCACACACACACATCCTTAAAATATAGTGAGAAAGACAGCCTTCTCCAGGAAATCATTTCTCTTTTCCAATAGTTTCCAAAGTCAGAATGAAAATATTAACATTTTCTAAATTTCTTTAGGAATAAGAACTTAATTAGTTATTACCTTTTGTTATGTTTTAGAAAATGTCATTTCAGGATTGGGTTAAGATGGAAGAGTAGAGAGAGAGCTTGCTGCTCTAGTCTAGGAGAATATAATTTAGAAAGAGTGTAGTCTCAGGGAAGAGTTGGGGAGAAAACAGCAGGGGAAACACTATGCAAATTGGAGGGACAAGGTGGACCTTTGAGGTGGGTGAAGACACTTACAACTGAGGACCATAACAGCTGGGAGCCTCCACAACAGCATTGGGGTGTGAGGTGAGACCAGATTGAAGCAGCCCAAGCCACTGGCAAAAAAGCTGAAGGAAGAGCCTGGAGGGAATCTAGCTTGGGGTCCCATGGGGAATAGTGTCCCTGCCAAACTAGAGGAGAAAAAACAAAAGGGGATTATGTTTTCTCTCTCCCCCATCACTCTGCAATGACATCCTGTAACAAGCTGATGGAGAGCAGAATGGATTAAAAAACAAAATCCATCTATTTGCTGCCTACAAGAAACATATCTCACCAACAAAGATGCAAGCAGAGTGAAAGTGAAAGGATGGAAAAAGATATCCTATGTAGCAGAAACCAAAAAGGAGCTGATGTAGCCATCCTAATATCAGACAAAATAAACTTTAACACAAAAACTGTTAAAAGAGACAAAAAAAGGGCACTATGTGATGATTAAGGGATCCACTCAACAGGAAGATGTGACTGTTATAAACGTATATGCACCTAATTACAGAACACTAGGCTATTTAAAAGAAATGTTAAAGGATCTCCAGAGAGACATAGATTCAAATACAATAGTAATGGGGGATTTCAATACTCACTTTCAGCAATGGACAGATCAGCTAGATAGAAAATCAGCAAGGAAACAACAGAATTAATCGACACTATGAACTAAATGGACCTTACAGATATCTACAGAACTTTTCTTCCTACAGTTGCAGAATATATTCTCCTCAGCAGTGCATTGAACTTTCTCTAGGATTGACCACATTCTAGGCCATAAAGTAAGTCTCAGCCAATTAAAAAAAATCAAAATCATACCATGAATCTTCTTGGATCATAATGGAATGAAGCTGTAAATCAGCAAGTCAGAAATCTCTAGAACATATGCAAACACATGGAGACTGAACAACATGCTCCAGAATGAACAGTGGGTCATAGTAGAAATGAAAAGAGAAATAAAAAAATTTCTGGAAACAAAGGAAGATGACAATACAATGTATCAAAATGTATGGGATACAGCAAAATTGTGTTAAGAAGAAAGTTTATAACAATTGATGCCTACATTAAGAAATTGGAAAGGCACGAAATAAATGAGCTATCAATGCATCTCATGGATCTAGACAAATAAGAGCAAACCAACCCCAGACTTGTAGGGAAAAGAAATAATTAAAACTAGAGAAGAAATGAACAAAATTGAAACAACAACAACAACAAAATCAATACAAAAGATCAGCAAAACGAAGAGCTGGTTTTTTGAAAAAATAAACAAAATTGACACACCATTTGCTAGGTAACCAAAAAAAGGAGAGAGAAGACCCAAATCAATAAAATTAGAGATTAAAAAGGAAATGTAGCAACAGACATCACAGAAATAAAAAGAATCATCAGAAATTACTAAAAAGAGCTGTATGGCAATAAACTGGGAAACCTGAAAGAAGCAGATAGATTCCTGGACACATACAACCTCCCTAAATTGAGCCATGAAGATGTAGAAAACATAAACAAACCAATTACCAAGAAGGAAATTGAATCAGTAATAAAGACCCTCCCAACAAAGAAAAGTCCAGGACCAGATGGCTTCACTTCTGAATTCTGCCAGACATTTGAAGAAGAACTAACTCCAATTTTTCTCAAGTCATTCAATACAATTGAAAAGGAGGGAATCTTCCAAAATTCTTTCTATGAAACCAGCATAACCTGAATTCCTAAACCTCAGAAAGATGCAACAGAGAAAGAGAATGACAGACCGAGTTCTCTGATGACAGACCAATTTCCCTGATGAACATAGATGCAAAATCCTCAACAAAATTCTGGACAATAGAATCCATCAACACATTAGAAAGATCATCCACCCAGACCAAGTGGGATTTATCTCTGGTATGCAGGGATGGTTTAACATTTGCAAATCAATTAATGTGATACATCACATTAACAAACTGAAGAATAAAAATCATATGATTATCTTAATAGATGAAGAGAAAGCATTTGATAAAGTACAGCACCCTTTCATGTTGAAAACTGTAAACAAATTGGATATAGAAGGAAAATTCCTCAACACAAGGCAATTTATGACAGACTCACAGCCAGCATCCTATTGAATGGGGAAAAGTTGGAAGCATTCCCACTGAGATCTGGAACCAGACAGGGATGCCCACTCTCACCATTACTATTCAGTATAGCCCTGAAAGTTTTAACCAGAACCATTAGGCAGGAAAAAGAAATCAGAGAGATATAAGTTGGGAAAGAGAAAGTCAAATTATCCCCATTTTCAGATGATATGATTATATAGGGGATCCAAAAGACTCTACCAAGAGACTATTGGAACTCATAGAAGAGTTTGATAATGTAGCAGGATATAAAATCAACACACAAAATCAACAGCTTTTGTATGCACAGATAATGCCATGGCTGAGAAAGAACTAAGATCAATCTCATTCAAAATAGCTACAGAAAAATTAAAATAACTTGGAATAAATTTAACCAAGGATGTCAAAGATCTCTATGATGAGAATTACAAAACATCAAAAAAAGAAATAGAAGAAGATACCAAAAAATGGGAAAATCTTCCTGTTAATGGATTGGAAGAATCAATATCATCATACTATCCATTCTTCCTAAATCAAATTACATATTCAATGTGATAACAATCAAAATACCAAAGACATTCTTCTCAAATCTAGAAAAAATGATGCTAAAATTCATATAGAAACACAGGAGACCTTTAATAGCTAAAGCATTCTTACACAACAAAAACAAAGCTGAGGCATCACAATATCCAATTTCAACACATGCTACAAGCCAGTTATAATCAAAACAGCCTGGTACTGGTACAAAACAGATGGACAGACCAGTGGAACAGAATAGAAATGCCAGAAATCAATCCCAGTATCTACAACCAACTTATATTTGACAAAGGAGCCAAAACCAATCCCTGGAGCAAGGACAATCTCTTCAACAAATGGTGAAAAACTGGGAAAACTGGATTTCCTCATGCAGAAATATTAGCAGGACCCCTACCTTACACCTTACACAAAAATCCATTCAAAATGGATTAAAGACCTAAATCTATGACCTGATGCCATCAAATTATTAAAGAACATTGTGGGATCTGGCACTGTGGTGTAGCGGGTAAAGCTGCCGCCTGCATGCTGGCATCCCATGTGGGCACCAGTTCGAGACCTGGCTGCTATACTTCTGATCCAGCTCTCTGCTATGGCTTGGGAAGGCAGTACAGGATGGCCAAGTGCTTGGGCCCCTGCACCCACATGGGTGACCTGGAGGAAGCTCCCGGCTCCTGGCTTTGGATCAGCGCAGCTCTAGCTGTTGCGGCCATTTGTGTGTTGAGCTAATGGATGTAAGACTTCTCTCTCTCTTTACCTCTGCCTCTGCCTCTCTGTAACTCTGACTTTCAAATAAATAAATAAATCTTAAAAAAAAATTAGAGAACATTTGGGAAACCCTGCAAGACATTCACAGAGGCAAAGAGTTCTTGTGAAAGACCCAGAGGCACAGGCAATCAAAGCCAAAATTAACAAATGAGATTACATCAAATTGAGAAACTTCTGTACTGCAAAAGAAAACTCAGGAAAGTGAAGAGGCAACCAACAGAATGAGAGAAATTATTTGCAAACTATGCAACTGATAAAGGATTAATAACCAGAATATAGAGAGAGATCAAGAAAATTCACAAAACAAAACAACCAACCCAGTTAGAAATGGGCCAAAGACTTAAGTAGACAGTTTTCTTTTCTTTTTAAAAGATTTATTAATTTGAAAGTCAGAGTTGCACAGAGAGAGATGGAGAGGCAGAGAAAGAGAGGTTTTTCATCTGCTGGTTCACTTCCCAGTTGGCTGCAATGGCTGGAGCTATGCCAGGATTGAGAAGCTTCCTCTGGGTCTTCCCACGTGGGTGCAGGGGGCCACGGACTTGGGCCATTTTCACTGCTTTCCTAGGCCGTAGCAGAGAGCTGGATTGAAAGTAGGGCAGCCGGGACTTGAACCAGCATCCATATGGGATGCCATTCCTGCAGGCAGCAGCTTTACCTGATATGCCACAGTGCTGGCTCCAGACATTTTTCAAAAGAGGAAATCCAAATGTCAACAGGCGCATGAAAAAATGTTCAGTATCAGTAGCTGTCAGGGAAATGCGAATCAAAACCACAATGAGTTTTACCTCACCACAGTTAGAATGGCTTTCATACAGAAATCAACAAACAAATGCTGGTGAGGATGCAGGGAAAGGTAACCTAATCCAGTGTTGATGGGAATGTAAACTGGTAAAGCCATTATGGAAGACCTTTTGGAGATGCTTCAGAAATCTGAACATAGACCTACCATATGCCCCTGCCATCCCACTGCTGGAAATTTACCCAAGGGAAATGAAATCAACAAATAAAAGAGTTATCTGCACCCCATGTTTATTGCAGCTCAGTTCATAATAGCTAGGACATGGAGTCAACCTAAATGCCTGTCAACTAAAGACTGGATAAAGAAATTATGGCATATGTATTCTATGGAATACTACACAGTGGTT